GTCTCTTGAAGACAAATTATGTCCATTTTCAACTTTTGTGGCTTATGAAATGTTTTACTCCTTTTTGATGGTGAGTTGAGACCATTTATATTTATTGAAAGAATTCCAGTTTCATCCATGATTTCAATTATATTGAGACCTCAGTCTTCTAGGAGAGCTTATCTGTCTCTGGTCTTTGGATCTAACATCTTCCTCTGGTTGAGTCTTTTTAGGTACTTCCTCCTCCGTTTGCTTTGATGTTCCTGCCACAGTTATTTCCTCTGGTTTCTTGGGCTAAACATCGCCTTTTTCCAGAAAAGCTCTATGATTATTAAAAAATTCCTCTGCTTGAGATGGAGTATCCAGTCTGTATCTTTTTGAGTCACAAAAAATTAATAATCCTTCCGGGACCAACCATCTAAAGTTCACTCCTCTATTAACCAATTTCCTTATTAAAAATTGATATTCTCTTCAGGCTTCTCTTATTCTTCTAGGAATCTGTTTAAGAACTACAATTTCTTTTTCTTTATATTTCAATGGTTGATCCCTTATTGCTCTCAAGATCTCATCTCGTAAGGCTCTTTTAAGGAATCTAACATGAACCTCCCTAGGGACTCTATTTCTTCTTGCATAATTTGAATTAACTCTAAAGACCTGATCCAGATCTCATTTCATTTGATCCATTTCCATTCCAAGTAGATCCGCCAATAGCTCACTCATCAGTTCTAATAAGTTCTCATCCTTCTCTTCTATCATATTTTGGAATCTTAAAAAATATGATGCCCGTTCCATCTCCATGACAGCTATGTTGTCCTCCAGTTCCATGTTGGATTGCACCAATCTCTGATTTTCATCTTGCAAAGCTTCTAATTTCTGATCAACCACCACTGACTTATCTTCCATTTTTTGCATTCTTAGTTGAATATCTGTCATCGCCTGTTGAAAGGCTTCCATTTTTTGATCCATGAGTAAAAAATGAGTAAATCATTTTTCAAATCTGCATAATTTTTTTCCAAATCTTTTTTCATTTCCATTTTAGAGTCTACAGTTGCCTGGAGTATGGCTTGGGTGTCCTTTTTCTGGGATTCCTGTTGTAGAAATCTTGTAATTGATTTTTGAGGGGCTGGGCTCACCAAAGTTGAGGTAGGGGCCGAGGAACCCTTTCTCACCCCTTTCACCAAGTTTGAGGCACTCATCTTCTAATTATTATATTTATTTGTAATCCAGTAAAAAGCCCGATGGCCAATTTATTTGTAATCCAATAAAAAGCCCAATGGCCAATTATAATCCAGCAAGTAGCCAGGGAAAAAAATTATAAGTACCCTCCTATTATCAGTAAATGAAGCCAAAATGTAGTTTAAAAGGTAAGAGGGAACCGGGGAAAAAAATACAGGAGTCCAATGCATGTGTAATCAAAAGAAAAATAATAAAAGAGGAAGCAGGATCTTTAGAGAAAAATAAAATAAAAAAGCAAAAGGAGATAGAGGTATATTGGTGGTATGAGAGGTATGATGGTTGCAAGCACGGAAGCACTCCGCCTTTCTCCTGCTGCTTCCAGGGGCTATTTTGAGTTCGGAAAGCTGGCTACCACCGACTTCCATTCCTCAAAGGTTTGCCCCTCGGTGGCCACCCCTCCAAGTTGGCATTCAGCCCAAATGAGCCCGCCAGCAAAAGAATTTAGGACCCTGGGAACAGACAGTTGTTCCCCAGGGTCTACAACCAACGACGTCACTGGAAATCCTCCCAATCTTCTTGACTAAACCAGGTGTGCTGGTTCAAGATGCTTGTAAGAATACATATTGTCTCAAGAGAAACAGGAAGCTTTCATATCTTTGCAAAGTAAATAAGTAACCATCATATTCTGCCTTAAATTTCAAACATTGGTGTGATGTATTTCCTGTCCTGCCATGTCTCTCTTCTTCTCAGCATTTTCAGAAAACAAGCACTCAGTTGACTTGCTTCTCATTACCACTTCCTGGTCACATAACCTGGCAATTTTCTTCTGCATTTGCAGGCTCCCAGGATCCTTTTATCTCTCTTTCTCCTTTGAAAATTAAATCTTAGAATCTGGACCCCTGTCATTTCTCCCAGTCTTTTCACTTTCCACCACCACATATTTGTTACATAAAATACTACAGAAGATAAAAAGATTGCAAAACTCTAAAAGGCCATACAATATTATTTATTACTTATTTATTAAATTTATATGCCACCCATCTTACTGATAGAGCCACTCTTGGTGTCTTACAAACAGTAAAAATATAAACAGAAAAACAATTAAAATTTTAAAAACTATTTTAAAAAAACAAGAGCTAAGGAGATGTACAGCACAGGGATGCTATCTTCTTACCTTGGCAAACACCTCTAGTAGTGAGCGCCCCCTTCGAGGATCCAGGCAAATTAAAAAAACTGAGTTTTGATACCCTTCCAGAAGTCCAAAGGGGTGGGAGATCAACATAAGAGGTGGGTAAACAACCCTAGAAATAGGGTGAGGTTGCTGCAGTTAAAATATATTTCTGATCTGAGATTAGAAATTTCACAGAACAGAGTAGGTGAAAATAATGAACAGAAAAGGTTTATGTATATGTGTTTATGTATGAGAGAGAAAGAATGGGAGAGGGAAAGGGAGATTTAGAGATAGAGGAGTGAGTGAGAAAGAGAGAATCTTCCTGTCACATTTGCCGACAGAGGCATTGAGTTGAATATCCCACTTCTGACTTAGGGCTCAAAAGAGAATGTATGCACGATGAGGGTGATTCTCTATTTCTTTTCAGCTCCATCCTTTTCTAAGAAACTTAGAGATTTACAATTTTTCTGTGGATGATGTTTATTTGGATGAGACTGGAATTCCTGTTGCTGACTTTGATATTATGGACTGGGCAGTATTTCCTAACAAGTCTTCTGCTGGAGTGAAAATAGGGGATATTGAAAAAGAAAAAGTCTCTTCAGATATCAAGTTCTCTATCGATGAGAGTGGCATCATATGGCCAACATCCTTTAACTGGGTAACCAAGTCTGCCTGTCTGTGGGAATTTCATTTTTAATGTGTGCCTGTTTGCTCACAGTAAAAAAATGACAGTAAAGGTTATCTACCTTATCTTGTTCAAATTACAAATTCAGAGTAGAGCTTGAAGGGACCTTGGAGGTCTTGTAGTCCAACCCCCAGCTCAAGCAGGTGACCCTATACCATTTCAGATAAATGATTATCCAGTCTCTTTTTCAAAACCTCCAGTGATGGAGCACCTACAACTTCTGAAGGCAAGCTGCTCCACTGGTTAATTGTTCTCACTGTTAGGAAGTTTCTCCTTAATTCCAGGTTGCTTTTCTCCTTGATGAGTTTCTTATCCTGCTTTCTGATGCTTTGGAAAATAAGTTGACCCTCTCTTCTTTGTGGCAGCCCCTCAAATACTGAAACCACTCATGTCACCCCCCACTCCTTCTCTTCTCCAGACTAGCTATACCCAATCCTTACTACAGTTGTACTAATGTTTTACTCTCCAAGCCGTTAATCATCTTAGTTGCTCTTCTTTGCACCTTTTCCACCTTTATAAAGCGATACTAATACTTGACATGATTTTGATTCTACGGCTCTGTTTATACAACCAAGGATTGTATTAGCTTTTTTGGCTGATGCTGCACACTGCTGGATCATATTTAATTGATCGTCTACTAGGACTCCAAGGTCCCTCTCACAGTTACTGGTTTTGAACCATGTTTTGCCTAATCTGTACTTGTACATTTGGTTTTTGTTCTCTCTATATAAAACATTGCTTTTCACCACATTAAATTTCATTTTGTTGGATAGGCCTATTATTCAAGTCTGCCAAGATTCTTTTGGATCCTGAGCTTGTTTTCTGGGTGTTGGCTAATCCTACCATCTTAGTGTCATCTGCAAAATTTGATGACATCCCCTTCTATTCCCTCATCTGTCATTTATGAAGATATTGAAGAGTGCTAGGGCAAAGATGGAAACTTGTGGTACTCCACTGCTTACTTCCCTACATGTAGATGTAACCTTCTATCCCAACCCTCTGTTCAAGGCAGGAAACTTTATATCATCCCAGTCAAATAGTTGTCCAGTCTATTTTTCAAAATCTCCAGTGATAGAGCACCCACAACTACATGAGGCAAGCTAGTCCATTGATTAATTGTTCTTACTGTCAGAAATTTCTCCTTACTTCTAGGCTGGACCTCTCTTTAACAAACTTTCACCTATTACTTCTTGTCCTGCCCTCTGGTGCTTTGGAGAATAAATCTAAATCTCTCTTCTTTGTGATCAACCCTCAAATATTGGGCGTCATTGTCCCTCCTTATCCTTTTCTTTGTGTGGTAGATACTGTATATATCTAGTTCCCTCAATTGTTCATTATATAATTTAGCCTACAGACTGTTTATCATGTTTTCTAGTCTTCTATGCACACTTTCCAGTATTCCAATTGTGCCCCTCCCAGGCCATGGCCCCACTAGTAGGCCATGGCCTATTCAGAATTGGGCCAGGCAAGTGGCTGGAGCACATGACAGCCCACTGCTTACACAAGTCGAGCTGCACACATGTCATACATGCAGCCCAGTTCCCCTCTCCCCTCCCCCCAGCTGGGCCACTGAGCCGCAAAGGTTGGGGACTACTGCACTAGCACATCCAGATCTCTCTCATAGTTACTTCTGTGAGCAAGGTACTACTTATTTTGTACCTATCTATTTGCATTTTTCCTACCTAAATCTAATTCAAAACAAAATTGATGGGATATGAAATCCAAATGCATGTTGCCTCTCACTGGAAAAAAAAAACCCAAACATACAGAAGGCTAAAGATGTTTGGACAGGAGAGTCATCAGTCTTTACTGAATATTGAAAGGACTCTGGGATATGCTGCTGAAATCACCCAAACAAAAATAATTTTATTATATTTGGAAAAAATCCTGAAAGTATCTTCTGAGTTCATGAACCTATCTTGGTACTGACTTCCACTTATAGAAGGAATTCCCTAATCCATATATTTCCATAATTTTCTTTCTGTTTAGAAGACCCCCTTTTCTAGATGTACTAAAAATTGCCTCCCAGGATATACCAAGCTCACAAGAGAAGGAGAACCAGTGTGCTGCTATGACTGCTCTCCATGTATGGAAGGAACAATCTCCACACAGGAAGGTAAGTGGCTTAAGGACAAAAAAGGAGCATCAGCCTTTTATTCTAGGGACAAATATAGTAACCAAGATTTAATCTCCCATGCCAGTGTGCCTCATCCACACTCAGGAAAAGAATCAAGACACAGCAGTGTTCCGTATTCAATAAAAGTAGCATTTTACCAGGGTGGATGTTTTCGGAAACTGCTGAAACAGTAAAAAGTAATATTGACAAAGATTGAGAAATCTTGAGAGATGACAGAAACAGGTATACAAAGCCAAGATCAACTATTAGGAGGCATATATAAATAATTTTTTGAAATAGGACATGGAGATGGAACAAATAAACAACCGTACGATAGAATGGATACAAAATATCAAATAAATAATTGCAGTACAAACAAAATAACAGCTCTGGAAAAGAAAAATCCAGAAAATTCACTCCAGGTTATACTATAAGGGGAAATGTTTTACAGACAGTATACAATTATATCAACAGTTGATAAAACAAACAAATAATAGAAAAATAGATGTATGAAATCCCATAACAAAAAGGAATGTTTTATCATGTGTGGTAGTGATGCAAAGAAACTCAAAATTCAGAGAACAAAATACATCACAATATTCAGAAAAAAACTAAACATAAACATTGACCTGAAATCCCAAATGTTCTTTTGAGGTATAATCCTCCAGAATTGGAAAGACACATTTTTTTCAGTGATGTCACATTTGGAGATAAGATTGGACAATTTTCTGGAATGGGAAAATTCACAATATCTAAAGTATCTATGATAAAAGTAGCAAGATGGCTACCATAAATACTACACAAAGAATTTAGAACTTTGGGACATAGCATGGTTTTTAGAAAGACAGTTCTGCAATTGGCAAATAAAGAGAAAGGATGGTGGCAATGTTTTTCTATAAGCATTTTCTACTTTATTAATATTTAGAAATTATTTCTTTTTGTAATAAAAATATTTTTCTTTTAAAAAAGAGAAAAAAATAGCAATTCATGTTTTTCAGATGTGTCCCAATGTGAAAAGTGTCCAGATGAACAACATTCCAACCAGAAGCAAGATCAGTGTGTCCCCAAAATTGAGACTTTCCTGTCCTACAAAAAAATGTTAGGTCTCATTCTGGCTATCATTGCCTTTTTTTTGTCTCTAAACACTGCCTTAGTTCTAGGAATCTTCATTAAATATCGAGAAACCCCCATAGCCAAAGCTAACAATCGGGATCTCACCTACATTCTCCTGGTCTCTCTCTTGCTTTCCTTCTTGACCTCTCTTCTATTCATTGGTCGGCCCAAGAAAGTGACCTGCCTTTTTCAACAAATCACCTTCAGCGTGGTTTTCTCAGTTGCTGTCTCTTCCTTGCTGGCCAAGACTATCATGGTGGTGGTGGCATTTTTGGCCACAAAGCCAGGCAGCAGGATGAGGAAATGGTTGGGGAAAAGTCTGGCCAACTCCATTGTCTTGTCCTGCTCTGGAGTTCAGGTGGGCCTCTGCCTTATATGGCTGAGAATCTCTCCCCCATTTCCACATTCTGACCTGCATTCTGAACCAAGACAGATACTCCTGCAATGTAATGAAGGCTCAATCACCATGTTCTACACTGCCCTTGGTTACATGGGCTTTCTGGCCACCATCTGCTTTTTGGTGGCTTTTCTGGCCCGCAAGCTTCCAGGGACTTTCAATGAAGCCAAGTGGATCACCTTCAGCATGCTGGTTTTCTGCAGTGTTTGGATCTCCTTCATCCCCACCTACCTGAGCACTAAAGGGAAATACATGGTGGCTGTGCAAATCTTCTCTATCCTGGCTTCCAGCCTGGGTTTACTGGGCTGTATTTTTGTCCCCAAATGTTACATCATTATTTTGAGACCTGATATAAACACTAAGGAGAATCTAATGATGAAAAATAATGTGGGTTCTTGATTTTGAAAGTTATTTGTTACCCAAGTTATTGTTAAGATAAATAGGATAGTTGGAAATAAAATCTTTATGTGTTCTAAGAACTCTCTCTTTCTCTCACATAAAGTCTCAATTATTATTGATATAATAAGCTATATTAGAGATGTGTAAGAGGTCAGATAATCTTTACAGACCCTGCTCAAGCAACACTTCTGTGCTATGTCCTGGATTGGAGGGAGGGAACTGCCAATGATCTTTTCGGCCATTCTCACCACTCTCTGCACTGCCTTCCTGTCTGAAGCAGTGATGCTGTCAATGCTGCAAATACTGTATATTCTTGCTTCGACAATATGCAAAACTGTCTGGTATTCATTGGGTTAATACTTAGCTTAGACTGGGGGGGGGGAAAGCCCGGGAAAGAAAGAGGAAGTAAACTTTTGACCTTCTCACTAATTAGATAATGTGACCTGTGACTGCATGAGAAGGGAGGGGTTTAGCAAGGAAAGCTTGATGCCAGCAAAAGGAAGTTCAGATTTTGGCATAAACCCGTCCATCATGGTGACCGGCAAAACTAGCTCTGCAATAAAGATTTTAGGAAACATGCCTGAAAGTTCTTTGAAGTGCTTCATTAGTCGGAACATGTAACAGATGTTTCCAAACCAGATTGTGATGCTGTATGACAAGATGCTCTCGATCATCCCCCTGTAGAAAGTGGTCAGGACAGGTGAAGGAAGATGTGCTTTTCTCATGCGATGCAGAAAATGCAGGCGCTGCTGTGCCCTCTTCGCCAGTTTTTCACTGTTGGGCTACCAAGCCAACCTGCTCGTTAGCTGCACACCCAGGAATTTGATGCTGGTAACCATCTCCACAGATGAATCATTAATGCACAGAGAAGTGTGGCTGTGCCTGCCTTTTCTGAAATCGACAATGATCTCTTTGGTTTTTCCAGTATTTAAAACTAGGCTGTTTTCCTTTAACACCAGTTCACCAACCCCTCAACCTCCTTGCGATAAGTTTCCACCTTGTCATCCTGAATAAGGCCCACTACTGTTGTATCATCTGTGAACTTCACAATATGGTTGGTGGCAAACCTAGCACAATAGTCATGGTCAACAGAGTGAACAGCAGTGGACTTTTGATGATTTCATTGAAAGGAAAGCCACAAGTGCAGAACTACTTAGTTGTCCATTTCACCAAAGGCCATTAACCCCTGCCTGAAGACCATTGAAAACACCAAATGGTAACCAAATCAACCAAATCTGGAGATCCTTAACATCTCATTTTATACTCAGAACAGTACTAATAGCTGACCAGGCATTCTAAAAGGCAAGTTTTTGCTGGTAGAATGTAATTAAAGTTTTGCTCTTTGCACCATTGGTATGATTGCCATCTTGCCTTTTGGGTAGTTTTGACCTTTCTCCTCCTATACGGAGGCTGTCTCCTCTAATGAAAGGGGTAGCAGAGCCCTGCTATAATCCTGGGTATAACTGAGAGGGACAACTGACATTCTTGGGGGGGGGGAGATGGGCAAAAAATGATAAACTAAAGCGTAATAAAGACCCCGATAATAAGAAATATAATAAGTAATATTTATGAATCAATGACTTCATGGAAGGACAGGAAGATAAGATACTTCATAATCTCATAGTAGCCAATCTCAAAAGTGAAAATATGTGTATAAAAATGTATAATAATAATAATATGGATTATTCTTAGTAAGAAGTAGAACATGAAGGAAGAAAAATGTAAATAAGAAATAACGGGGCTATGACAAATATTCTAAAGAAGGATAAGGGGGGAAATTTAAATAATAGATTACCGTTGCACAATTGCTGTAAAAAAAGGAGGAGTATATATTGTGTGTGTATGTGTGTTATGTTTTGCTTTGTTTTGTTTTGTCTTGTTGGTTAAAAATAAAAATTTAAAAAAATATTTCTTCCAAATCAGGAAGCAACAAATACTCTGCATACTTATGTTTTATCTCGAACTTCTCTTCAGCCATTCCATTCAATTTATACATATCCACAGATATATTCTCTCCTCTCCTCCTTTCTGCAATCTTTAGGTTATGTCACCACCTTAGGATCTGAGTTTCTCCCAGGGCTCTAAACCTTAGTATGTTTATAAACATTTGGATCAGTGGAACTGCTGTCTCTAAAATCTCCTCACACCAACCCTGGCTAGCAATAAAGTCAGTTCATCAGTTCTCATCAAAACATGCATGCTCTGAAAGTCCAAAATTTAACTTCTTTTCATCCTTTTACTCACTTCAAATGCTCACATCAGCAGAATGGCAGCCATATCAGGCCATAATTTCTGAAACTGATTTAGAGAGGGTATTATCAAGAAGGTTTGTTCAATATAAATTTTAGATGGGAGGAAAACCTGTTGCCAATAATGTTGAGGGTTGTATTGTGTGGTGTATTATTTTTCATTTCATATTATTGTTGAACAATAACCTTTGACTTAATAATTTGCTCATGCAAATACCTTTTTCATTCCCTTTCCCTGTCATGCCTCCATCCGAGCCTGACTCTGAGGACGACATGGAGCTCCCTGTTGAGGCCCAGAAGGGGGTGTCTGTGGCTTTGGAGGACTGTGGGGAGGAGCAGGCTGAAGCAGGCCAGGGCCCTTCAAGTTTGGAACAGGGAAGGCTGAGTTCAGGTGAGGAGTAAGGCCCCTTCCCACCAGATGCCAGAGCAAGGGGAGCAGAGAGGAGGAGGGAACAATGGAGGCAGGCTCACTTGCTTGGGAGGAGAGCATCACACCGCACTCCACAAGGCACTCCATGCTATGGGGTGGGGCATTTGCTGGGAACAAATGTGAACTCTTGTGATAGTTTGCTCTTGTACCTGGACACTTTGTATTTTGGACCAAGTTTGCTTTCTGTTGATTTCTGTTGTGTCCTTAGCCTGCAAAAGCAGGCTCGGGACCTTGCAGTGGTCCCGGGGATTCCAAAAGCTGCCCGGGACCATACTGAGTGGCACCAGCCTTGCGCGCATGTGCAAAGTGGTTGCTGCCCAGGATCAGACAGAGCAGCGCCAGCCTTTGCGCGCATGCGCAAGGGGGGAAAACACTCTGTTACTGTTACTTGCCTTTGTACGGGTTCTGGCCATAAAAGGGGGCCTGTGAGCCTTTGGGTTTTGTTCAGGTGTTGCTGTAAGGAGAATAAAGAACTGTTTAACTTCGCCATGAGTATTCATCATTCGCACGTGAACGGAGGATTTAACACTGGCGACGAGGATGGGATCCTTTGCAAACTGAAAAGGCAGTTTTAAGGACTTACCCAGGAAGTCCTGAAGAGGGAAGACAGCGTCTGAATCAGCATCCCAGCCTGCCAGTATAGCGTCACTGGAGGGTGAGCTCGGCTAACCCTTTCCCCAAACAGAAGTTTGCAGAGGAGCGAGTGGTGAAGGTAGTACTAGTATGATGGTGAAGATTGGTCGTTTGTCTGATTTTGATATCTCACACCCAGAGAGATGGAATTCCTACGTTGCAAGGGTGGAGAATTACTTCAGAGTAAATCAAATTAGAGAAGATGGCTTGAAGACTGCAACTCTTTTGTGTGTCTGTGGACAGGAAGTTTTTGAAATTACAGAAAAATCTGGTGGCCCCTGAACCTCTGGAGTCAGTACCATATACTGACTTGAAGAAATTGTTGAAGGAACATTTCCAGCCAAAGTTGTCTGTTATTGCTTGGAGGCACGTGTTTGAGCAGAGGGACCAGAAGCCAGGTGAATCTGCTACAAATTTTTTTGCAGCCTTAAGGCGAGCAGTCAGACCTTGTGAGTTCAAGGATCTGGAAGAAAGGCTGAGAGATCGCTTCGTATGTGGTTTAAGGAACAGACACTTACAGCAGAAGATTTTTGCTAAAGAAGAAGTCTCTTTCCAAGATGCCCTATGAGAGGTGACAGCTGAGGAAGCAACAGGTGGGGCTGTGAAGATTTTACGGCTCACCAGGAACCCTCCAGAGACAACTACCGTCCATCAAAAGGATGCTCAAGAAGGATCGGAAGCGGATCCTGAAGAAGAGGTGGATAGACTTCACCAGCCAGCTGAAAGAGGCAGAAGGAATGTCCGGACAAGGCCCTAGCATCTCTGCAATGCTTCGGGTGCAGAGGACACCACAAGCGAGCTGACTGCAGGTTCCGATCCACCATTTGCAGAGCATGTGGCAAGCAAGTCCACATCGCATCCATCTGTTTCGGTCGCCAGAAGGTCCAATCTCGTGAAGAATTGCATCTGAAAGGTACCAGGGTCCCCAGCCAAAACAGGGTGGGTTTCTGCGCATCATGCAGGAGTATTTTGAGGACAGGGACACATAAGCCCCTTAAGAAGAAGCTTTTCCTTAACGTAAGGCTGCAAGGAGTTCCCTTATCAATGGAGTTGGACACTGGGTCTGCTCTTTCCATTATTTCCATTAGCACATTCAATAGGATACGCAGCAGCAGTGGCCTTCGAGGTAAACTCAGGCCGTCGAATCTAATACTTATAGATTTTCAGAATTCTATGGTGAGTGTTAAGGGGGAGGCCACCCTTAGAGTACAGTATAAGGATTTTGAAGGTCCCCTAGATGTGGTGGTTGTCGGGGGTGAACATATGAGTCTTATTGGACTCGATTGGTTCGAGGCTCTGGGAATCCAGGTGACTGGGCTGCACCATTTGCAAACGTTGAGTCTTGCAGAAGTCTGCAAGGAATTTGCAGATGTATTTAGTTCAGAGCTAGGATCCTACAAGGGACCTCCAATTTCACTACGATTAGATGCAACCATCACGCCTATCAGGGTTAAGCCTAGGAGGGTACCTTTTCCCTCAAAGGCAAGATTGATGCTGAGCTGGACAAATTGCTCCAGCAGGGCATTCTTGAACCTGTGGATTCAAGTCCATGGGAAACCCCCATAGTAACGCCTCTAAAGGCTAATGGGGACATATGTATATGTGCAGACTACAAGTGCACACTGAATAAGGCGCTGCAACAGCATGCTTATCCAGTGCCTGTGGTAAGTCACATTCTGGCCTCCCTCAAGGGAGAGCACATTTTTGCAAAGCTTGACCTATCACAGGCCTATCAACAGCTACCTGTTGATGAGGCAGCTGCAGAGGCCCAGACTATTGTAACTCACAGAGGGGCATTCAAGGTCAAGAGACTGCAATTTGGGATAAATGTAGCCCCTGGCATATTCCAAAGTGTCACAGAGAGCACACTTCGAGGTATTCCTGGGGTCTGTCCCTATTTTGATGATGTCCTCATTGCTGGGGAGTCATCTCAAAACTTAGCAGAGAAATTAAGGGCTGTTTTGCTTCGTTTTAAAAAAGAAGGCCTTAAACTTAAGAAAGATAAATGTACGATAGGTGTCATTTCTACTGACTTCTTAGGATTCAGGATAGACGCTCAAGGCATTCACCCTGCTGAATCTAAATTGCAAGCCATCCAGCAGGCCCCAAGCCCTAAATCTAAGAGTGAGCTGCAAGCCTTCTTGGGGCTATTAAATTTTTACCATGTTTTTCTTCCACATAAGGCTGCAGTGGCAGAGCCATTACACAGGCTCTTAGACAAGCAGGCCCCTTGGCAGTGGACTAAAGTCCACGACAAGAGTTTCAATGAGGTTAAGGCCCTGCTCAATTCTAATGCTGTTTTAGCGCATTTCAATGAGCAACTGCCTGTGTGCATCGCATGCGATGCATCTCCTTACGGGGTGGGAGCTGTACTTAGCCATCTGAAGGCTGATGGGACAAAGGTCCCTGTGGCCTACTATTCAAGAACTCTGTCTTCTGCAGAGTGAAATTACGCACAAATTGACAGAGAAGCCTTGGCCATAGTGGCTAGCATTAAGAAATTTCATGATTTCTTATATGGCTGCCATTTCAAAGTCTGTACTGACCATAAGCCTCTGCTGGGGTTGTTTACCACTAGCAAACAGACCCCACACATCATTTCTCCTCGTATGCTGAGATGGTCCATTTTCCTGTCACCATATGACTATACATTAGTCCACAAACCAGGAAAAGAATTGGGTCGTGCAGATGGCAGAGTACCCCTGAACCAATTAGAGCCAGATCCTGCTCCAGCTATTAATATTCTGTCCATTCAGGAGTTGCCTGAGTCTCCCCTCAATGCTAGGGATGTAGCTGCAGAAACCGCCACTGATCACACACTTACACACGTGTTGACATGGGTGTTGTCTGGATGGCTTGACAAGTGCCCAGATACTGAGTTCCAGAGCTTCTGGCACAAGAAGCATGAGTTTTCCACTTTGAAGGGTTGCCTGTTATGGGGTAGCAGGGTAGTGATCCCAGCCTCATTGAGGTCTAGAATCTTGGTCTCTCTGCATGAGGGAAATCCTGGTATTGTCAGGATGAAAGTGCTTGAGTGCAGCCATCTTTGGTAGCCTGGGATTGATAAAGCCATCGAGGCCCATGTGCATGGGTTCCAAGTGTGCCAATAGTCTTGGCCTGAAATGCCTCAGGCACCAGTACATAGGTGGAAGGAAACCCAAACCCCATGGTCTAGGGTGCATATAGATTACGCTGGGCCTTTCAGGGGCAATTCTTCTCTGGTTGTTGTTGATGGCCATTCCAAGTGGCTAGAGGTTGTTCCTGTTTCCTCCACTACTACTGCCAGGACCATCCAGGTGTTGAGAGGAATTTTTGCATCACACGGTCTTCCAGATGTTCTGGTTTCAGATAATGGCCCTCAATTTACCTCTTCTGAGTTCCAGGATTTTCTTCAGGCCAACCTGATCCGGCACGCAACATTGGCTCCCTTCCACCCATCCTCTAACGGCATGGCAGAGAGAATGGTGCGCACCACCAAAGATGCCCTCAAGAAACTGGCATCACAGATTAGCAGATTTCCTTCTTGCACACCGCACCACACCATGTACTGCCACAGGGAAGAGCCCTGCTGAACTCCGCTGGGGTCGCTGCCTCATCACTAAATTGGACAGGTTGCACCCTGACCGGGTGGCTTCACAGGTATCAAAACTGCGGGCGCCTAGGAGACTCCAAGTGGGTGATACGGTCTGGGCACAAAACTATAGGCCTGGTCAATTCTGGGTCACAGCTGTGGTCTGCAAGGTCTCTGGGCCTTTGTCATACAAAGTTGCCTTGGGAGACGGCCACGTTCTTCGCAGACACATAGACCAACTGTGTTGGAGACTGGACCCTCACCCTTCTGCTCCTGGCTCTGCTCTGGGGGGGGGGGAGGAGGACTATAACATGCATTCTGAGGTTCAGTCTCACAGCCCAAACAGGCCATCACTAGCCGCTACTGAGGCTATTCGGGATTCATCCCAGGGTTCCGCAAGTGCTCCTAACTGGAATTCACAGGATAGGGGGTCATCCCACACATCCATAATCACTCCAGACAGGGAGTCACACTGGGGGTATCCACAGTATTCATATATGTCAGATAGTGCTCCAGACAGGGAGACTGACCAGGGGTATCCACACAAATCACAAGCAGCAAGAGAAAAAGAATTCCAGCAGGGGTGCTTACCCAGTTCTGCAATTGCTCCCAGAAGGAGGTCAACAGCAAAGGGGGTTGCCATGGAGGCGACTCCTGACTATGGCACCTTAGGCACGTGCTTGGGGGCCACAGAGTAATGGGGCACTTCCGCTACCCAGCACTCTCCATCTGTTGGCCTTGGGTTTGAAGGACAGTGTTCCCAAGAAAGGTCCATACTCCTTCAAGGTATGCTGGCTTGGACTTAGAGGGTCCAGCCAGCCAGCAGATGGGTGGGTCAACTGGGTATTTGGGGCAGCCAAGTCCTGGCCTGCTTAGCCTGGTAGGTGAGCAGGTAGGCCAGGCACCCTCACCGGAGTCACCTGGGGGGCTGAAGGCAGCAACACTGTGACCTGCCTCACCTGGTAGGCGAGCAGGTGGGCCAGGCAATCTATCCTGGCCTTAGGAGGTCGCAGCGGGCCAAGTGCCCACCCAAACATCTTAGAGAATTTGTTAAGTTGCTGTCAAGTCAATAAGGGTTCTTTTCATGAGGCCCTGAATGCGGGGGGCAACTCATGGGAAGATTATTGTATTATTTTTTGATTTCAGAAACATTCATTGTATTACAAAAAAATTGAAAGGGGCTTGCCTGGGGGCAGACTCGAATATTCCACACTCCTTGCATTTGATTAATGGAACTATATGACACTCTTCCAAGGTATGGCATACAAGTGAGTGCGCATAGTATGCTCCATCTAAGGGGGTGGGGTGTTGTGTCTTGAGCCTGCAAAAGCAGGCTTGTGATGTTACAATGGTCCCGGGCATTCCAAAAGCTGCCAGGACCAGACTGAGTGGTGCCAGCCTTGTGCACTTGCGCAAGGCGGTTGCTGCCCAGGACCAGACAGAGCGGTGCTGGCCTTGTGCGCATGCGCAAGGCATGAAAATGCTCTGTTACTGTTACTTGTCTTTGTACGGGTTCTGGCCATAAAAGGGGGCCTGCAAGCATTTGGGTTTTGTTCAGGTGTTGCTGTAAGGAGAATAAAGAACTGTTTAACTTCACCATGAGTATTCATCATTCGCACGTGAATGGAGGATTTAACACTGGCGACAATTTCTCCTTGCTGTCTGCAGTTTTGCAGTTTGCAGTTCACAGGCAAGCTGGGAGTTGAAAGGATTGTACGTTTGTTTGTTATCTGTTTTACTTTAAAGAACCTTGTAAACTTCCCTGACTGTTTTATTGAACTTCTGCCAGCATATGTGGGGGCGGTTGGGTGAATGTTGGCAGTGCTTAAAAGACAATTCTTCTGATCAGCTAATTGCTTTGCCTCCGTTCGGGGCCCTGGGTCATCACATTCCCTCTTTACTGCAATTAATCCAGCCTCCTCTTACAATTAATGTAAAAATATTATGTGCTAATCCCAGTTCATGGGGTTTTAAATTAAACAAAAAATCTGAAAGAGTTGCCTGTTCCATAAGGGAAGAAAGAGGACCAATTAATTTCCAGCAGGAAACTGTGATACTCTTTTCTATCAATAAAGAATTTTTGGCCTGCTAAAAGTCTACTCAGTTTATTTCTCTATTTCTTTCAAAGATATGTCTCTCGGATTCTGTTACTCTATTAAAAATAAGTTTCTTGAGTAAAGGGAAAAATAACTTACCTGAATTGTATTGTTTTGATAAGTCTTAAATTAGAACTATGCCCATGAGTCATAAAGAGTTTTTTTCCCCTCTTAGGAACACCAGTAAATTCCTCATACACACCTACCCATCAACAACAAATTTGACAAATACTTATTAACACTTTAAAAAAAAATCTAAAAATTTGGTCCACAAGGACCTCAAGGACTGTGGAGAGCATATGGTAAGACTCCTGTAGGCAGGATTGTGCAAGTCTGAATGTAATCTTGCTCATTTTACTGTAATGTGCCAGACTTCATTTTATCTTTATCTTTATAAAGTCAGTCGGTCTGGACTCTTTGGCAAGAGAATTGTCCTTAAACAGCTCTGGGACCAAAGACAATAGAAGATCTCCATCATGACCTGTGAAAATCTGCTGCTGCTTCTCCTGGTATCCCATTTTCCTTGCGGCACAATGATGACCAAATGCCCATTGAGTGTGCAGAAAGAGGAAGAACACATATTTAATTACTACAAGCCAGGAGACTTCCTGATTGGTGCAATCATATCTACAACTAGCACTATATTTCAACCATATGTTTTCTTTAAACCTCCAAACAATAGATTTCGAAGGTAATTCCTGATATATATGTAAGCCTAGTGATTAATTTTTTCCTTTCCTGTTTTTCTTAAATATCAATGGTTTCCATTTCCTGGTACCTGGTCTCTGTCACATTTTCCCATCTTCATTTCCTTTAAGGACAAGACTTAAATTGGGGATGGAGGTGACTCTTTGTAAAATAACTCTCTGTGGTGCCAGGGAGAACTACTGGATCACCTCTTAGCTGAGGTCAAAGTGAAGTTCTTTCCCATTTTATTTTCCCATTCTCTTCAATGTCCTTGATGATGCATCCCTCTTTCTACCTATCTGTCTCTCCATCCATCCATATATCGATCCATCCATCCATCTATTCATCCATCCACCCGTCTCTCTCTGTCTGTCTGTCTGTCTGTCTGTCTGTCTGTCTGTCTGTCTGTCTGTCTGTCTGTCTATCTATCTATCTATCTATCTATCTATCTATCTATCTATCTATCTATCTATCTCTACTCTCTCTCTCTCTCTCTCTCTCTCTCTCTCTCTCTCATCTCTCATCTTTTCCTTCCTGGACAGGAAGCCACAATCCTCACCTGTTGGCTTGGCTTTCAGCTTTCTTTCATAAAGTGGCTTGTGAGCAACTTGATCTCTCAAAAAGAACTGAGGCTAGTATTTTGCTTTGTGTGGCAGCAACACCATCTTCCTGCTTACTTTTTATTTAAATTAATGAAGTCCTTAAAAAAAAAGAAACCAAGGACCATGGCAGGAGTAACAACAAGTGGCCCTGGGTGTGTTTGATTTAAAGGCTGTGAAAGCACCTTCCGTCTGATTTAAAAGGGAAATGAATGTAGTAGAGGCCATTCCAGCTGTTTAAAAAAAATTCCATTCTTGGCAAGTGGTTGTTATTAATATGTGTCTTGATATTGAAATTGTTGCTGATTTGATGAGATGAAAATAATACCTTATTTTAACTATTTGATTCTATTACTGAACCAGTATAAATTAACAATAAAATTAAAACTTACAATCCTCCCATATGAAACAATTATAATTCCTATATACAATGAGAAGCAATATTTAAAACATGAATATTAATAGTACCTAGTTATAGGACCATTGCAAGGTATTATGATTAATATTTTTATGGCTAATATGAGTACAAAATCTTTTTATGCTATAATTTTTAATATTGACATTTATGTCATTAGCCATCTAGTTTTGAAAATTATGGAAATAGATTAATCTAAGCAATATACTGTCCGAAAAGTATATATAACAATATAACAATAAAAATAAATTATTGGAATGTGAAGTATAAAATTAAGGATTTAACATTTAGCAATAGAACAGTGCCCAGAAGGCTTTGTCATGGCTAGCAAATTCTTTTTTTTTTATTGTGCAAGCTGAGAGACAAAATTGACAAACATTATAGGCTACCGTGGGAGAACAATCTGAAAGAAATAAAACTAAATTAAAGATGTACAAGTCATCAGTATGGACTCGTACTTACAAGAAAAAAATCATAGAGATATTCTTAACAATTAGAAATTGAAGAAATCCTAGAAAAAACTCTGATGAAAAAGAAGACTGTATTTTCATAGGAATGTGGTTTTCTAATGTGAATTTTAAATAAAATCATCCAATTGCTCAGACATTGGAACCATGATTACAATAATATAGGTTTTGTTGTAGGAATGCTCCTCTAAGTCATTTAGAGAAAATAAAAGTTGGGATCAGGTCTAGAACTTCTAATTGGGATCACTTTGACTCTGAAGAAAAGCATGGAAAAGAAGGTCCCTCTTGTGTCAATGCAGTGTCAGTGGAGCTGTTCTTCTAATATTAACACCCAAGGAAAGTCCATCACTATAAATGAATGATATATGTATCTGACATTATTTTCATTGAACAATGAACTTCTGACAATATTTCCTGCATTACATATGGACACTGAGCTGCTGATGTGATCCTGTCCTATTTTCTTCTTCTAGAAGACAACCAGATTATTTTATACATAAGGGGATAATGCATTCAAAACTGATTTCCACACAATAGAATCGTGAGACAGCAATACAAATGAGTTGTTATAAATGTTTTTATAGGAACAGCTTCAGAAATGGGATCTGCTTTTTTTATGAATTTAACATGAAAAATCAAAAATCAAAATGAAATTTCTTCACTTGCAGTATGTCCAGTATGAGCTTCTGGCACGTCCTGCCCTTCTTCTTTGCCATTCATGAGATCAACCAGAATCCAAAGCTGTTACCAAACATCACCCTGGGCTACAGCATCTATGAGAACTTTTTCAGTGCAAGAATAACTTGCGATGTCATGATGGACTTGCTTTCTGCAGGGCAGGAGAATGTCCCAAACTATAGTTGTGGAAAACAAAATAATCTGTTGCCTCTACTCGAAGGGACCGATTCTCATCTCTTTAATCAAATTTCCACCATGCTGGGCATCTACAAAATCCCACAGGTATAAATGGATACTTTGCAAAGTCTCCTAATAGTCTAAAAATATCAAATAATAAATAAAATTAGTTAGGCAATGGAGTTTAAAGAACCCCTAAAATGATATCAAGCATTCAAATAACTATTTCTTCATTCTGATATCATTTTTGCAGCTGAACAAATCCTTATCCATTGTTCAAGTGAAATGATCTCAGCCATCCTGCACAATAAATTTTCAATCTCTTGGCCAATTCTTCATCTGCCTCTTGTCCCTGTCTGTCAGTCATTGCAGTCACAAGACCTGGGAGAGAAAAAGATCTTTTCAATCTTAATTGAAACAAATCAAAAGAAAATGTCAAGGACTGTACTGGAAGAAAAAAAAATAAAAATATTATGTGTTTCCCTATTTATTCTTAAAGATTTTTTTTAAAAAATCCACCCAACTGTTTTCTCTCCTCTGAGTTCATATATCTTCCCATCATTCCCTGGGCATTACTGAGACATGTATAACTGAGCTGTATATTAGAGTTTTGTTCTTTATTCTTGTACTGCTCATGATGTGAAAAAAATCGTTACATTTGTCCTTCCGTAATTCTGGAAGAAAGATGTGATGACTGGAGTTTACAGGCAAGTGATACCAGACATTGAGATGACATTTCATGGTAGAAACTCAAAAACAGATGAAAGGAAGTTCTTTTCCTGGAGGAACAGCTCTGATATGTAAGCACTTTTTTTTTTTTCTTTAGAAGCAAAGCAATCAACCATCTTTTCTGGTTCACCTTAGATCAACTATGCGGTCATCAGCCACATTCCAGAGCAGAAACACCATTTCCCTTTTTTCTACCGAGTGAGTCCAAAACAGGAACCTCCTCACTTGGCAATTGTCAAGTTGCTCCTGCATTTCCGATGGACGTGGATCGGCCTCACTGCTCTGGACAATGAAAGCGGAGAAAAGTTCAGAAGAACCTTTGTGCCAGAAGCCGAAAGGAAAGGTGTCTGTGTTGCCTTCTCAGAAATCTTACCCATGGTTATTAGAGCAGGGAGGGAAAAGGACATCCTTGAATATTTTAGTGACACTAAAGTGAAAAGTATTGTTTGTCAGTTGGACTTTCAGGCCACAATAATACTAGCAGTAGTAATAAGAGAAATTGACAGTAGTGAAATCCTGTTTGGGGGGAAAGTATGGATTGCCACAACTTTGTCAGGTATAAGCGTGAGACTTTTTTATCGGTTGCTTAATCTCCAGCATAACCATCTTTTACTATCCTTCTCAAGTCAGACAAAAAAAACGACCCAGTATTATGATTTTAATTCAGATTACTCTGCTACTACGCAGTTTGGGGAGGCAGCATTTCAGTGTTCTTATTCAAGTCCTTTGTTGTCTAAGAAAGTTTGGAATACATGCCTGGAAAAAGAGACCTGGGAAATCCCACCCCAGGATCTGGTTGAAAGAATCCTGTCTGAGGATGGCTCCAGTATTTCCACAACAATCCAGGTTGTGGCCAGGATCCTCAGTGCTGCCTTTTCCTCCCAAATGAGTAAGAGGAAGCTGCCTGTTAGGGATGTTAAGACATTCCAGATTATACAGCCATGGCAGGTAATACTTCTACTACAAAATTCCTCTAATGGTTTCCTTTCAATTCTTAAATGTTAAGTTAAAGATAAGCAGGAATGGATGATGATGCGGGAATTCCAATAACAAGTGGCAGTTTCTAATACTTCTTCTGACCAGTTCTGGAAGCTTAGAGAGAAAGAGACAGATTCTGCTGTTGAATCTTCTTGACTAAACCAGGTGTGCTGGTTCAAGATGCTTGTAAGAATACATATTGTCTTAAGAGAGACAAGAGAGAGTTTTCATATATTTGCAAAATAAATAAGTAACCAACATTGGTGTGATGTATTTCCTGTCCTGCCATGTCTTTCTTCTTCTCAGCATTTTCAGAAAACAAGCACTCAGCTGACTTGCTTCTCATTACCACTTCCTGGTCACATAACTTGGCAATTTTCTTCTGCATTTGCAGGCTCCCAGGATCCTTTTATCTCTCTTTCTCCTTTGAAAATTAAATCTTAGAATCTGGAGCCCTGTCATTTCTCCCAGTCTTTTCACTTTCGATCATCACTTGTTGGTTACATAAAATACTACATACAACATTATTTATTACTTATTTATTAAATTTATATGCCACCCATCTTACTGATAGAGCCACTCTTGGTTTCTTACAAACAGTGAAAAGATAAACAGAAAAACAATTAAAATTTTAAAAACTATTTTAAAAAAACAAGAGCCAAGGAGATGGACAGCACAGGGATGATATCTTCTTACCTTGGCAAACACCTCCAGTAGTGAGTGCCCCCTTCGAGGATCCAGGCAAATTAAAAAAACTGAGTTTTGATACCCTTCCAGAAGTCCAAAGGGGTGGGAGATCAACATAAGAGGTGGGTAAACAACCCTAGAAATAGGGTGAGGTTGCTGCAGTTAAAATATATTTCTGATCTGAGATTAGAAATTTCACAAAACAGGATAGATGAAAATAATGAACAGAAAAGGTTTATGTATATGTGTTTATGTATGAGAGAGAAAGAGAGATACGTGGAAGAACGGAGTAAGGAAGAGAATAATCTTCCTGTCACATTTTCAGACAGAGGCATTGAGTTGAATATCACACTTCTGACTTAGGGCTCAAAAGAGAATGTATACACGATGAGGGTGATTCTCTATGTCTTTTCAGCTCCATCCTTTTCTAAGAAACTTAGAGATTTACAATTTTTCTGTGGATGATGTTTATTTGGATGAGACTGGAATTCCTGTTGCTGACTTTGATATTATGGACTGGGCAGTATTTCCTAACAAGTCTTCTGCTGGAGTGAAAATAGGGGATATTGAAAAAGAAAAAGTCTCTTCAGATATCAAGTTCTCTATCGATGAGAGTGTCATCATATGGCCAACATCCTTTAACTCGGTAAGCAAGTCCGCCTGTTTGTGGGTATTGTAATTCATCTATTCCTACATAGCCATCTGCTTTTGTGGTTTACTAATCTTCTTACTCTGATGGAGGCTTTATGCTAATGAAAAAAATGGGTTGAAGGAGACACTACTATTTCTCTTGGATCTCTCCTGGATTGCTATCTATGGAAACACCAGCGTTGTACTAGGGTAGGATGGAAAGCATGTTGGTAGTCCAATGATGTTTGTTCCATGTAAGGAAGCTAAGGAACCACCACAAACCCTTAGACCCTGAGTGACTTACTTCAGGGCATCTAACTCAGGGTAGTCCTTGATGCTCATTGAGCCTAGTTGCTTACAGATATTTAATTAGAATCAGAATAATAGAGTTGGAAGGGACCTTGTAGGCCAGCTAGACCAACCCCCCACCCAAGCAGGAGTCTCTACACCATTTCTGACAGATGGCAGTCCAGTCTCTTCTTGAAAGCTTCCAGTGATGAAACTCCCACAACATCTGAAGGCAATCTGTTCCATTGGTTGATTGTTCTCACTGTCAGGAAAATATCTCTTTATCTCTAGTTTGAATCTCTCCTTGATCAGCTTCCATCCATTCTTCCTTGTCTGACTTTCAGGTGCTTTGGAAAACAGGCTGATCCCCTCATCTCTGTGACAGCCCCTCAAATATTGGAACACTGTTATCATGTCTCCCTGGTCCTTCTCTTCACTAGATTAACCATGCCCAGTAGCCATTCTTCATATGTTTTAGCCTCCAGTCCCCTAATCATCTTTGTTGCTCTTATCTGCACTTTTTCTAGAGTCTCAACATCTTATTTATAGTGTGGAGACCAAAACTGGATACAGTATTCTAGGTGTAGTCTTACTGAGGCTTTATGGAATGGTATTAGTACCTCATGAGATCTTGACTGAATCCCTCTGTTAATGCAACTTAGGACTGCACTGGCTTTTTTTGGTTGCCGCTGCACACTGTTGGGTCATATTTAATTGATTTTCCGCTAAGACTCCAAGATCTCTCTCACAGCTACTGCTTGATAACATTATCAGTGCCTGATGATAGCATAGTCAAATGTCTGCAAGCAAACAACCATATTCAGAGTACACCAAGTACTCCACAGTTCAACCATGAGCTACACATATTTATTCTACTGGATCTCACTCAATGCTTGATTGAGTAATGATTATTGATTAACAATGATTAATATTTATAAGTATATATACGGGTGTAAGAGTATACATATGTTGTATATAGTATGTTTATATGTGAGTTAGGTATGTGTACACTTTTGAGAGCAGGCAACAGAATTTCATTTTTAATGTGTGCCTGTTTGCCCACAGTAAAAAATGACAATAAAGGCTATCTATCTTATCTTGTTCAAATTACAAATTCAGAGTAGAGCTGGAAGGGACCTTGGAGATCTTGCTGTCCATCCCCCTGCTCAAGTAGGTGACCCTATACCATTTCAGATAAATGAATATCCAGTCTCTTTTTCAAAACCTCCAGGTTGCTTTTCTCCTTGATGAGTTTCTTACCCTGCTCTTTGATGCTTTGGAAAATAAGTTGACCCTCTCTTCTTTGTGGCAAACCACTCATGTCACCCCCACTCCTTCTCTTCTCCAGACTAGCTATACCCAATCCTTACAACAGTTGTTCTAATATTTCACTCTCCAAGCCTTTAATCTTCTTAGCTGCTCTTCTCTGCACCTTTTCCAAAATCTAAACATCTTTTTTGTAATGTGGTTACCAAAATTAGATGCAGTATTCCAGGTATGGTCTTACTAAAGTTTTATAAAGCGGTACTAATACTTCACATGATTTTGATTCTATGGCTCTGTTTATACAACCAAGGATTATATTAGCTTTTTTGGCTACTGCTGCACACTGCTGGCTCATATTTAGTTGATCGTCCACTAGGACTCCAAGGTCCCTCTCACAGTTACTGTTTTTGAACCAGGTTTTGCCTAATCTGTACTTGTACCTTTGGTTTTTCCTGTCTATATATAAAACATTGCTTTTCATCACATTAAATTTCATTTTGTTGGATAGGTCCTATTGTTCAAGTCTGCCAAGATTCTTTTGGATCCTGAGCTTGTTTTCTGGGGTGTTGGCTAGTCCTGCCATCTTAGTGTCATCTGCAAAATTTGATGAGATCTCCTTCTAGTCCCTCATCTAAGTCATTTATGAAGATAGTGAACAGTGCTGGGCCTAAGACGGAATCTTGTGGTACTCCACTGCTTACTTTCCTCCATGTAGATGTAGTACCATTAAGGATGACTCGTTGAGTACAGTTTGTCAGCAGTTACAAATCCATCTGGTGGTGTTGCTGTTTATCCCACATTTTTCTAGCTTATCAAGAAGTAACTTCTGGTCTACTTCATCGAATGAAGTATATACTATGTCCACAGCATTTCACCAGTCTAATAATTCAATCACTTTGTCAAAGAATGAAATAAGATTGGTTTGACATGATCTGTTTTTAACAAACCCATGCTGACTATTAGTTTTACCTTTATTTGTTCACAGATCTGTTTTTTATTATCTTTTCCAGCATCTTTGGTATTGATGTTAGGTTGGTTGGTCTGTAGTTTCCTGGGTCTTTTTTTTTCTCCTTTTTTGAAGATGGGAATCACATCAGCTCTTTTTCAATCCTCGGGTATTTCCCAGTGCTCCAGGATTTTTGAAAGATATAGTACAATGGTTCTGAGATGGCATCTGCCAGCTCCTTCAGAACTCTGGGATATAATCCATCAAGTCTCCGTGATTTTTATTCATCAAGATCTGACAAGTGTTATCTTACTTTTTTGTTCAGACCAGTTTTCTTTGAGACTGAGTTAGTAAGTAAATTGAGATCCAAGAGATACATGATGGAAGAAAGCAAAGACATGGGTGCATGTTGAGATATGATCAAGAAACCTTCTTCTTCCAATGCTTTGAACTGCACCATCCACCATTTCTTACCATTGGCAATTCATAGAAGATCTTCTATTCCAACCCCCTGTTCAAGGCAGAAAAACTTATATCATCACAGTCAAATAGTTCTCCAGTCTATTTTTCAAAATCTCCAGTTATAGACACCCACAACTACATGAGGCAAGCTAGTCCACTGATTAATTGTTCTCACTGTCAGAAATTTCTCCTTACTTCTAGGCTGGACCTCTCTTAACAAGCTTCCACCCATTACTTCTTGTCCTGCCCTCTGGTGCTTTGGAGAATAAATCTAATTCCCTCTTCTTTGTGATCAACCCTCAAATATTGGGGGTCATTGTCCCTCCTTATCCTTCTCTTTGTGAGGTAGATATATATCTAGTTCCCTCAACTGTTCATTATATAATTTGGCCTCTATACTCCTTATCATGTCTTCTATGCACACTTTCTAGTATCCCAAGTGTGCCCCCCCCAGGCCATGGCCCCACTAGTAGGCCATGGCCTATTCAGAATTGGGCCAGGCAAGTGGCTGGAGCACATGACAGCCCACTGCTTACACAAGTCAAGCTGCACACATGTCATACATGCAGCCCAGTTCCGCTCTCCCCTCCCCACAGCTGGGCCACTAAGCCGCAAAGGTTGGGGACTACTGCACTAGCACACCCAGATCTCTCTCATAGTTACTTCTGTGAGCAAGGTACTACTAATTTTGTACCTATCTATTTGCATTTTTCCTACCTAAATCTAATTCAAAACAAAATTTATGGGATATGAAATCCAAATGCATGTTGCCTCTCACTGGCAAAAAAAACCCCAAACATACAGAAGGCTAAAGATGTTTGGACAGAAGAGTCATCAGTCTTTACTGAATATTGAAAGGACTCTGGGATATGCTGCTGAAATCACCCAAACAAAAATAATTTTATTATATTTGAAAAAAATCTTGAAAGTATCTTCTGAGTTCATGAACCTACAGTATCTTGGCACTGACTTCCACTTATAGAAGGAATTCCCTAATCCATATATTTCCATAATTTTCTTTCTGTTTAGAAGACCCCTTTTTCTAGATGTACTAAAAATTGCCTCCCAGGATATACCAAGCTCACAAGAGAAGGAGAACCAGTGTGCTGCTATGACTGCTCTCCATGTATGGAAGGAACAATCTCCACACAGGAAGGTAAGTGGCTTAAGGACAAAAAAGGAGCATCAGCCTCTTATTCTAGGGACAAATATAGTAACCAAGATTTAATCTCCCATGCCAGTGTGCCTCATCCACACTCAGGAAAAGAACCAAGACACAGCCGTGTTCTGTATTCAATAAAAGTAGCATTTTACCAGGTTGGATGTTTTCCGAAACTGCTGAAACAGTAAAAAGTAATATTGACAAAGATGGAGAAATCTTGAGAGATGACAGAAATAGGTATACAAAGCCAAGTTCAACTATTAAGAGGCATATATAAATAGTTTTTTGAAATAGGACATGGAGATGGAACAAATAAATAACTGTACAATAGAATGGATACAAAATATCAAATAAATAATTGCAGTACAAAAAAAACCAGCTTTGGAAAAGAAAAATCCAGAAAATTCACTCCAGGTTATACTATAAGGGGAAATGTTTTACAGACAGTATACAATTATATCAACAGTTGATAAAACAAACAAATCATAGAAAAATAGATGTATGAAATCCCATAACAAAAAGAGATATTTTATCATGTGTGGTAGTGATGCAAACAAACTCAAATTTCAGAGAACAAAATACATCACAATATTCAGAAAAAAACTAAACATAAACATTGACCTGAAATCCCAAATGTTCTTTTGAGGTATAATCCTCCAGAATTGGAAAGACACATTTTTTTCAGTGATGTCACATTTGGAGATAAGATTGGACAATCTGCTGGAATGGGAAAATTCACAATATCTAAAGTATCTATGATAGAAGTAGCAAGAATGGCTACCATAAATACCACACAAAGAATTTAGAACTTTGGGACATAGCATGGTTTTTAGAAAGACAGTTCTGCAATTGGCAAATAAAGAGAAAGGATGATGGGAATGTTTTTCTATAAGCATTTTCTACTTTATTAATATTTAGAAATTATTTCTTTTGGTAATAAAAATATTTTTCTTTTAAAAAAGAGAAAAAAATAGCAATTCATGTTTTTCAGATGTGTCCCAATGTGAAAAGTGTCCAGATGAACAACATTCCAACCAGAAGCGAGATCAGTGTGTCCCCAAAATTGAGACTTTCCTGTCCTACAAAGAAATGTTAGGTCTCATTCTGGCTATCATTGCCTTTTTTTTGTCTCTAAACACTGCCTTAGTTCTAGGAATCTTAATTAAATATCGAGAAACCCCCATAGCCAAAGCTAACAATCGGGATCTCACCTACATTCTCCTGGTCTCTCTCCTGCTTTCCTTCTTGACCTCTCTTCTATTCATTGGTCGGCCCAAGAAAGTGACCTGCCTTTTTCAACAAATCACCTTCAGTGTGGTTTTCTCAGTTGCTGTCTCCTCCTTGCTGGCCAAGACTATCATGGTGGTGGTGGCATTTTTGGCCACAAAGCCAGGCAGCAGGATGAGGAAATGGTTGGGGAAAAGTCTGGCCAACTCCATTGTCTTGTCTTGCTCTGGAGTTCAGGTGGGCATCTGCCTTATATGGCTGAGAATCTCTCCCCCATTTCCACATTCTGACCTGCATTCTCAACCAAGACAGATCCTCCTGCAATGTAATGAAGGCTCAATCACCATGTTCTACACTGCCCTTGGTTACATGGGCTTTCTGGCTGCCATCTGCTTTTTGGTGGCTTTTCTGGCACGCAAGCTTCCGGGGACTTTCAATGAAGCCAAGTGGATCACCTTCAGCATGCTGGTTTTCTGCAGTGTTTGGATCTCCTTCATCCCCACCTACCTGAGCACTAAAGGGAAATACATGGTGGCTGTGCAAATCTTCTCTATCCTGGCTTCCAGCCTAGGTTTACTGGGCTGTATTTTTGTCCCCAAATGTTACATCATTATTCTGAGACCTGACATGAACACTAAGGAGAATCTAATGATGAAAAATAATGTGGGTTCTTGATTTTGAAAGTTATTTATTACCCAAGTTATTGTTAAGATAAAATAGGATAGTTGGAAATAAAATCTTTATGTGTTCTAAGAACTCTCTCTTTCTCTCACATAAAGTCTCAATTATTATTGATATAATAAGCTATATTAAAGACGTAGAAGAGGTCATTTTCTTTTGAATTATTACTTTCTTTTACCATAATCCATGTATAGGAAAAATCATAAAATCTCATTAACCATATATCTACTGAAACCAATTAAGAGAGAGCATTATAAAAACAAATTTCCTTTATCTAATGTATAAGGTATGACTGTAAGGACCTTCCTCAGCTAATCCTCTCAGGAAAGCACAACTCTTCACACCATGTGGTTAATCAAAAGAACTTTTAGTGAGAAACAGTGGTTGCAATAAAATCAGGTGGAATCTAATGATTCCACAAAAATCACCAAGCTATTCTTCCCATTCCTAAACCCAACCATGCTGACCAGTCCACTGGGAGCCAATACAGTGCTGCAAGGTTGTTTTGAGTGCCTGGGGGTACAGGACAGATAACAGGTCATCCTTGGGGTGTCATGGTTCCGATAGATGAAACCCTTGAAAAGATCTTTGAGGCATTGTTTTCCTTAAAGAATCTTTTATTCAGGAAACAAAGTATCAGTACTACATAGTTGAACCCAAAAACTAAATTCCCCTCCGCTGGAGACAAAGTAACAAAGTAACAATAAACAGTCATAAAACACATTCCTCAATTAGCATGAAGTGCGGGCTTTCTCCCCAGCTCTCCAGCCCACCAAAACGTTATCAGCTCTGGATTCTGCCAGAGGGGGCACCAAAAACATACCAGGAAAAATATTACATTTGAAGAGAAACTCTCTTCTTTGGCTCAGTTCTCTTTGTCCGCTTGTGCTTTATAGGCATCATGAGCTTGTGAGAGAGACTTTCATACAATATGCCAGGTATTTTGTAGTTGGGAGACCCTTTCTTTCAAAGACAGCACTGCAGGGTCATTGACAGGGAGTTGAGGCATGGCTTTGAAGTCTTGACCAGTAGCCACTCAGAAAAGGGGGAAACCAGTGCTGCTGTCCACAGAGTTATTGTATACCACTTCTGCAAATGGCAAGAGATCAGTCCAATTGTCTTGTTGATAATTAATGAAGCACCTAATCTTGAGGTATTGATCCATTACTGAGTTCACTCATTCACACACCTCATTCGTTTGGGAGTAATGACTGGAACTGACTCCTTAGTCAGTACCCAATAGATCCAGGGAAGCCCGCCAAAACATGGAATTGAATTGCACCCCTCTATCTGAGATGATACGATGGGGTGCTCTATATAGATGATAAATGTGATGCAGAAATAATTTCCAAGGCCCTGGGCAGATGAGATTTTCTGACATGGGATAAAATGCACTTGCTTGGGAAATAAAACAGTTATCACCCAGATTACTATATTTCCCATGCTGTTGGGGAGTGCCACAATAAAGCCCATAGAAATCTCTCTCCAAGGTACTGATGGCTCAGCTACTGCCGGAGGAGGTCTGGCATTTTCCTTTGTCACTGCTTTGCTGAGGCACACACAGGACAACTGGCTACATAGCTCTCAATGCCTTTTTTAAGGGATGGCCACTAAAATTGCCTTTTCAACAAGTGTAGTGTTTTCATGAAATCAAAGTGTTCCACAATTTTGGAATCATGGTAGCTTCCTAGAACCAGGAATTTTCCATAATACTTTCCATAAAATAGAGCTTCACCCCCACTCAAGCCAGCCCATCCTGTATCCAACAAACATTGTTGTGAGTTGGGAGAGTTATATGATGCTGGGGGGAGAGTGATGGGAATTAGTTAGACATACAATATCATAACAAGAGCTGATAAAGAATGGTGGGAGAGGAAACTGGATGGAAGGCCAGCATTTCAAACTAACTGGAGAATGTGATTTATGACTGTTAATTGTAGGAGGGAATTGTGCTTTGATCTATATGTTGAAGGGAGGGGAAGTCAGATTTTGGCTTCAACTATGTAGTACCGAAGCTATGCTGCTTGATTAAAGTTTTTTTAAGGTAAACAATGCCTCAAAGTTCTTTGAAGAGTTTCATCTTTCGGAACCATGACAGCAAGAGCATGTATGATATGCCATGTGTGAAATGAATAAATTTGACCTCGATGATTACAGATAACACTTTACTGTTTCAGGCCAATTCATCCTTTCACTTTAGAACTAGAGGAAGAAATGACCTTATGGAGGATCTGACCCATAAGGCACTGAGACACTGAATGAGATAGCAAAATTAACACATTTGGGAAGGGATTAAGGAAGAGAGTGAGCTGATTCCTGGACTCTTTATTCAATATTTAGTATTTTTTAAGGGTTCTGTGGTATGGCATCATGGGTCTGTACAGGCTTTTTAAGGTATAAAGAAAGATCTGCCAAAGATTCACAATTACAGGAAGGACTTTTTTTTTCTTCTTACTAGATGTCCCAGGAGAGGAAAGTTACCCTATAGATCACATTTCATTTTCCTATTGGTGAAAAAAGGTATTGCAACTTTAGTATTTCAAGAATAGGTTTCTTAAGTAAAGGAAATAAAACATTCCTAAATTGTTATTTGGATGACTGTTAAATAAGAACTATGCTAATGAGTCATGTAGAGATTTTTTCCCCCATGCACACCAGTAAATAATGTCATTCAGAGAATCAACTGTGACCCATATCCCTGTATAATTATCAAAATCACAATTATTTCTTTCTCTTGCTAGGGACTTCTCTCAATTCATAATCATTTAGAAACCTAGGAAGGGATACTTAATAACTTTCATCAGCAAATATTTAGTAACACTGATAAAAGGTCTGAGAATCTGGTTCATAAGTACCACAAGGGCAATGGAGAACACATGGTGAGATTCCTGAAGTCAGAATTGTGAATGTGTGAAATTTAATGCTGCCCTTTTAATGTTGCAGACCTCATGTCATCTTGCTTGACCAAGTCAGTGCATCTGTGTTTTTTGGCAAGAAAATTGTGCTTCTTCTTAGACAGCTCTGAGGCCAAAGATACTGGGTGCCTGTCTCAGAGAACTACAGAAGATCTCCATCATGATATGTGAAATACTGCTGCTGCTGCTTCTCCTGGTGTCCCATTTTCCCTGTGGCACAATGGTGACCAAATGTCCATTGCATGTGCAAAAAGAAGAAGAGCATTTTAATTACTACAAACCAGGAGACTTCCTGATTAGTGGAATCATATCTACATCTAGCACTATATTTAAACCATACATTTTCTTTAAGCCTCCGAGTAATAGATTTCAAAGGTAATTCCTGAAGTGTACTTAACTCTTGTGATTAATTTTATCTTGTTTTTAATATGGATGATTCCCATTTCCCGGTACTTGGTCTCTATCACCTTTCCCTTTCTTCACTTGCTTTAAAGAAATAGCTTAAACTGAAGGTGGGAACTCTTGGCTCTTCATAAAATAACTTTCTATGAAACCACAGAGAATCACTAGGTCCCCTTTTAGTTGAAGGTAAAGAACTGAGATCCATTCCCATTTTATTTTCCCATTCTCTTCAATGTCTCCATGATGCATATCTATCTATCTATCTATCTATCTATCTATCTATCTATCTATCTATCTATCTATCTATCTATCTATCTATCTATCATCCATAATTCCACCCTCCCCCACCCCCAGACAAGCAGCCACAGTTCTCACCCTTTGGTTTCCAACTTTTTTCCACAAGTTGGCTTGTGTGCAACTAGGGCTCTCACAAAGAAGTTGAGGCTGACATTTTGCTTTGCATGGCAGGAACATCCTCTTCCTGCTTACATTTTATTCAGACTAATGAGATCCTTAAAAAAGGATAAAGAACCCAAACACCATGGCAGAAGGCACAGCAGGTGATACTGGATGTAATATGGTTAAAGACTGTGAAAGTGTGAAATAAGCCATCTGATTTAGAAGGTAATTGGTTTTAATAGAGGTCATTCAATCTATTTCAAAGAAAAGTTCATTTCTGATATATGGTGTCAACCGTCTCACTCGGTTCATGCAGCAAATAAATACTCCTTGGACATTTATGTTGCCCAGAGTATAATTTATTGAGCCAACATGGATACTGAAGTAGCAAAGCCATTGTCACTTCATTCCCTCCAATCAGTTACATTCATTTTGTTTGGGTAACAGACACTTCATCTAATGGACTTTCCAAGCTGGTTACTTTGGGACACTGGTATTGTCTCAGGCTACAAGTTTATTTATTTATTTATTTATGAGACTTATATACCACTTTAAGTGCAAGCACTCTCTAAGCGGTGTACACCAGTAAGCAATGTATATATATATTTACATTGCCCCCAACAATCTGGGTCCTCATTTTACCTACCCCGGAAGGATGGAAGGCTGAGTCAACCTTGAGCCGGTGAGATTTGAACCGCTGACCTGCTGAACACAGTCAGCTAAAGTGGCCTGCAGTACTGCACTCTAACTGCTGCGCCACCTCGGCTCTTAGTTGGTGCTCTTTGTATTCCTTACCCCTCTAATATGTCCCCTGCATTCCAATCCATTACCTCCCCACATTGCTTCTAGTCTGGCTCTGTGCAGGATTTGTGAAGTGAACGAAGCCTCAACCATGACATATGGTTATTATTATATGCCTTGACAGAGAATTATTGATTTGATATTGTGAAAATAATATCTTATTTTAAGTATTACATTCAGTCACTGAATCAGCATAAACTAACAATAAAATTAAAATTTACAATCCTCTCATATGAAAGAGCAAGTTCTTACAAATAATGAGGAAAATAATTAAAACAATTAAATTAATATTCATCATATGACACTACAGTACTATTTCAGGGTAAAAGGATTCATATCTGTGATGGCCGATATGAACATAAAAACTTTTTATGCTATAATTTTGAATATTGAGATATAAAACATTAGCCGTCTTCTGCTGAAAATTACACAAATATAATAAAATATTATTTTATAAGTATACTCTTTGAAAAGATGATAACAATAAAAGTATAAGATTATTTTATGGCAAAGGAATGTTAACATTGGTATTAGGGAGGGAAGGTCTTGTCATGGCTAGCAAATTCTTGTTTCCTTCTGAATTTTGCAAGGTAAGATTATAGGCTCTTATAGGTGAATAATCTGAAAGAAATAAAAAGGAATTAAAAGATACAAAAGTCATCAGAACATAAAGGCAGCCTGGTGAGCCTTTGACATATGATTTGAATCTTCATATTAAATCTTAAAAAGAACAAATTATAGAGTTTTGGAAGTGTACTTTATAATTCCAGAAGAGTCCGACCCAGTTCTTATCATATTATTTCAGAATTGAGCTCTTCTAATTTTCTTCCATCAAGCACAATCAAGGAAGAACTTCATATCTCCCAAGCTGAAGCCCCCTCTAGCTTTGGCTGCCTTAGATGAGGCACAGGTGTCTCAGAGCAAAGATGTTCCAGAGTGCAGGTACTATGGCAGAAAGGACAAAGCTTCTGTGTTCCACCAATCCACATTTAGACTAGAATAGAGCTGGAAGGGACCTTGGAGGTCTTCTAG